GTCTCAGGAGACACCAAGCTCAATTGGCACAACATAGTACATAAAAATCTTGTTCCACAACATATTTTGGTGAGTAGCAACTGGGGTCTTAAAAGCTTTCAAGCAGCCATCTAAGATGCAACTATTGGTCTCCTCTCATCTGAAGCAGACTGAAGAAAATCAAAGGCATCTGGAAATAATTAGTCCAAGAATATGATGGACCCCAAGACTAGAAGAGCTAGCTAGTGCCCAGCTGCCAATGCCAACCACTCAGGAAGGGATCAAAACTGGAGATCCTGGATAGAGTGGGGAGAAAAATATGGAACAAAATTCAGAAACACAAAAATGACCAGAATTATTGGTCATATGGAGTCTGGTGGAAGGAATTCCCAAGACTATGGCCCTGGGTTACCTTTTGGGCCTAGAGTTGGACTCACTCCCAACAGTACTCTCAGCCCAACAGTAGAAAGACCTACATGCAGAACACCTACCCTAAGGCTATGCTCCCACATACTCTAGGGAAATACACCCTTTAGAGCAATAGGCCATGGTGCACCCGAGGGGCAGGATTCACATAGCATGAAAACTGGTCAGACAGGAGTGCTTAGTTAAGAAGGGCACATCCAGGGAGTAGCCACAGGGAAGGTAGGGGAGGAGAGTTTGTCATGGTCAGTGATGGTAATCGAGGCATGAAATCAAATGTACACAAACTGCTGAATGTAAAACAAATTTTGCTCTGTAAATTTGCACCAAAGGCACAATAAAACAAAAAATGAAAAAGAAAACAAATATCATCACAACTGGACCAATAAGAAGCACCTTGATAAATGGAGAAAAGACTGAAGTTGTCAAACATATACTTGGATCCACAGTCAACATCCATGGAAGCAGCAGTCAAGAAATCAAATGATATATTGCATTGGGAAAATCTGCAGTGAAGTACCTCTTTAAAGTGAGTCACTCTGAAGACTGAGGTGCACCTGGCCTAAGCCATGGTATAGTATCTTCAAATGCATGTGAGACCTGGACAGTGAATAAGGAAGACTGAAGAAGAATTGATGTTTTTGAATTGTTTTGTTGGCAAAGAATATTGTAGGTGCCATTGACTATTAGAAGAATGAACAAATCTGGGAAGAAGTACAACCCGAAAGTTCTTTAGAAGTAAGAATGGCCAGACTTCATCTCTCATATTTTGGTCATGTTGTAAGAAGGGATCGGTCCCCGAAGAGAAGGATATGATACTGGGTAAAGTGGAGGGTCAGCAAAAAAGGGTAAGACCCTTAACAAGTTGGATTGACACAGTGCCTACAACAATGGGCTCATGTGTGGCAACAATTGTGAGGATGGTGGAGGACTGGGCAGTGTTTTATTTTCTTGTACATAGGGTCACTATTAATTGTGACCAAGTTGGCGGCACCTAACAGCAACAGGTCTAGAAGCAAAAATAGGTGGTGAGTGTTTGTCCTTGGGACATTCAGCAATGTCTAGCAAGCAACTCTCTCTCAAGTGACACCTCAGAAAATGCTTCACACAGGACTCCTCAGACATATCTGGGTTTATATCATCAGATACTCGGAAGGAAGGTTGGGCAATCTATTTCTGAAGTGATAACGCATCGGAAACCCAAAGAGGGGTCGCTATGAGTCAGGTCTGACTCGACTCAACGGCACATAACAACATCATCATCAGATAGGGTTGGGAGGGCTGATTTTACTGGCAAGGGATTTCATAAACAAAGCTGGGTTACTCTCTTCAGATGGGTGAGGAAGGACTGGTTCTCCTGGCAGGAGTGATTCAACAGAATTTAGAGGCTGAATGTCCTTGTTGTTATGTGTTGTCGACTCAGACCCGACTCATAGCGACCCCTCCTTGGGATTCCAAGGCAGTATCACTACAGAAGTAGATTGCCCAACCTTCCTTCCAAGGAATGGCTGGTGGATTTGAACCACCAGCCTTCTGGTTAGCAGTCAAGTGCTTTAGGCACTATGCTACCAGAGCTCCTGAATGTCCTTGGCTTTACCTATATCTGCCCACATTTCTCCATCCCAGTTTTCAAGATCTCATTTCTTCCCATTCACTGCCCTCACTTTAACTTTAGACACCTTTCAGGTTTGAGGATTCAATTGACATTGTAATTCAACAACTGTTAGGAAAGACTCTGGGTTTGGTTTTCAGCATTATCAGCTCTTTATTTATGTGAAATAAGGCTTCTTCCCTCCAGGTAACAATTTTCAGGTCCTTAATGTGGTGCTTGACCTGGGTCTTTGAAGCCCTGAGCTCATCATTTTCTTTCTCTACTATGTATAGCTAAAGTAGGAGTGACCAGCCAGCTTCATTATATTTGTCATTTAACAAAAATCTTGAAAGTTATTAAATACACAGTCACCCAGAGCCTTGTCTGTCACAAATACTGCATCCAGTAGTGGAGATGTTTTGCATATCTTTATTGCCACATAATGCCACGGATGAGCAATGCCCTATTTATGGGAAATAAGAGTAATTAGTGCCTTTCAATCTAGCTACACTTAAGAACCAATTCAGAAAACATCCTTAAGATTTTTGTTCCTATAGAATAACTCTAATACCACTCATCTGTCAATTTGTCATACTGTGCTGGTTTGCATGTTACTGTGAGGCTGGAGGCTATGCTACCAGTATTTCAAATATATTTTGCCATATTTATTTAATCTGTATGCTGAGCAAACAATACAAGAAGCTGGACTATATGAAGAACATGACATCGAGATTGGAGGAAGACTCATTAACAACATGCAATGTGCAGAGGACACAACTTTGCTTGTTGAAAGTAAAGATAACTTGAAGCACTTACTGATGAAGATTAAAGACTTAAAAAGTCTTTAGAGTTAAAGTCTTCAGTATAGATTACACCTCAACATAAAGAAAATGAAGATCCTCATAACTGGACCAATAAGCAACATCATGATAAGTGGAGAAAAGATTGAAGTTGTCCAAGATTTCATATTTCTTGGATCCACAATCAACACCAATGGAAACAACAGTCAAGACATCAGACGGCGTATTGCATTTGGCAAGTCTGCTGCAAAAGACCTCTTTGAAGTGCTGAAGAGCAAAGATGTCTCTTTGAAGACTAAGGTCTCCTAACCTAATCCATGGTATTTTCAATCACCTCTTATGAATGTGAAAACTGGACAATGAATAAGGAAGACTGAAGAAGAGTTGATGCTTTTGAGTTGTGTTGGTGAAGAATACTGAAAGTGGACTGCCAGAAGAACTAACAAATCTGTCCTGGGAGAAGTGTAGCTGGAGTGTTCCTTGGAAGCGAGAATGACCAGACTTAATCTCACCTACTTTGGTCACATTGTCGGAAGGGACCATTCCCTGGAGAAGGATGTCATACTTGGTAAAGTGGAGGGTCAATGAAAAGGGCCCTCAATAAGATGGAGTGACACAGTGACTTGATCAACAGTGGGCTCAAGTAGAGCAAGGATTGTGAGGCTGGCACAGGACCAGGCAGTGTTTCATTCTGTTGTACATAGGGTCGCTATGAGTCAAAACTGACTTGATAGTACCTAACAACAACAGCAACAGAATCATTCTTTGTACCAAATGTTTAGTCTGGGTTCTCTACAGGAGCAAATAAGTGAAATTGTATATATAATTCAGCTTGTATAATAATAATAATAATAATATATATCTTTTGCCATACTTATTCAATCTTATATATATATATCATCCTTATTCATATATATATATATTTGTTGTTATGTGCCGTCGAGTCAGCCCCGACTCATAGAGACCCCTCCTTGGGTTTCCGAGGCAGTTATCACTACGGAAGTAGGATTGCCCAACCTTCCTTCAGAGGAGTGGCTTTCATATATATATGAAAGAGAACTCACACAATTGTGGGGCCTGACAAGTGCCAAATCTTTGCATCCAGTGGCAAACTGGAGACCTCTCCTGGCTCACAGCTCACAGTGTTTTGGATCTGGTGAATCCAAGAACTGCACATCAGGCAGCAGGCTGGAGACTTATGCTGGCTTCCATCAGAACTGGAGGTCAGACAGCAAGAAGAGTACAGGTCAAGAGAGAGAGTGAGCTTCACCAGAGCAACCACTTATATAATAGATATAAGCAACAACCCCAAGGCAATTCCCCTTTTAACTGATTGGCTGTGCACATCAAATTACAAAATGGAAGGTAAATACATTATGGAAGAATACATACCACACCACTGAAGATCACAGCCTAGTCAAGTTGACAGAACATTAACCAGCACAGTTCTCCCAACCAAAATAGCAGCCCCCTCCTGTTTCCTGCTTAGATTCTCTTAGCATTTTCCCCACCTGCCATATCACATTTGCTTCTCGTTAGTTTCCTGCTGTTATTCTGACTCGTGGCAGTGGGTTTGGTTTGGTTTGGTTAAAATATATGCTACACAGCACAGAAACTGTGTTCACTGTTGCTTCTCCAGTGCTAGAGGATTGCCTGGCATGCAGGGGCACTTAGTGACCATGTGTTCAACAAGTGAATATGGTGTTGACTAAGCCCCATGCTTGGATCCCTGTGCCCTTGTATTTTGAACAAAGTTCATGCCAAAGTTAGCATTTACCCTCACTCACATCTTTGAAACCGTGTGCTCGCATCCCAGGCAGCATGGGGGACCGTGCCACAAGGAGTGCTAGGTGATGGCACAGGGCAGTAGACTATATTAGATGAACCAAACATAGTTGGCATTCTTGGCAATTTCAGTTTTGCATTGCACTGCCTTTCTGAAAACTTGGTTTTTTCTTTTAGGTTTTCATTTCAGGTTAAAATAATTCTCACATTGCCCTTAAATTTTCTCCATAATATAGTTCATCACATTCTCAATTTCCTGTCTTACTTGAGAGTAACAAGAATTGTCATTGCATACAGTAGTTGAGTCATTATCTGCAAGAACCTAAAAGCATGATTTTGACAAATGTGGAAGAATGGGGGTTGGGGTGGCAAGCATTCCTGCATTAGACTTACAGTAAAGTGTGACTCTTTCCCTTGTCTAGCTTGAAAAGAACACAAAGTCCAATTTGCTGCTCAAGGAGCTTTATGTGGAGAATGCACACCTAATGAAAGCCCTACAGATGACTGAACAGAAGCAAAGAGGGACTGAAAAAAATAACCTCATCTTGGAAGAAAAAATCAGAGCTCTCAACAAATTAATCAGTAAGATTGTTCCAGCATCTCTCTCTGTGTAAAGACTGCTTGTTTTCCTGGAATTCATTGTGAAAAGAATCTCTTAAAACTAAGCCATTGTGATGCCATGATTTTCTGTGGCTCATTGGCCATGCATCCTCAAGAATACGAGGAGTGAGTATAACAAACATTCAGTCTTTTCTAGATGCTAAGGAAATATTCCTATTGGGCAAAATCACATTTTTATAAAATTCTCAGTTTTGCCACTCACTGGTGAAACATTATGGAGACTGTCAGCAAGGAATGACAAAGTTAATTCCAATGTTGTCCTTTTGACTTTGACTGCAAAAGTTAAAATGGAAAATTAGAAATCTGCACAGCTTTGCAATTCTTTTTTTAAAAATATTTTTCATTATTGTTGAGAATATATACAGCAAAACATACACCACTCAACTGTTTCCACATGTACAATTTACTGACATTGATTACATTCTTTGAGTTGTGCAACAAGTCACACCCTTCTTTTCTGAATAGTACCACCTGCATTAACATAATGTCACTGCCGCCGAAGGACAGTGAGTCCAGTCTTTCAAGTTGCTGAACTGTTGCTTGGTTTTAAGATTACTTCAGGGGATATTTTTGGTTTAAGTTTTAAAAAATTTCTCAGGGCAATTGTTTCAAGGGTTCTTCTACTTTTCATGGCTCCAGAAAGTCTAGAGTCCATGAGAAGTTGAAATTCTGTTCTGCGTTTCCCCTTTTTGATCAGAATTGTTCTATGGAATCTCTTATCAAAATGTTCAGTAATGGTAACAGGGCACCATCCAGTTCTTCTTGTCACATCAAAGAAGGCAGTTGTTCATGGAGGTAATTAGCCATACATTCCATATTATCTTCCTATTCCTGATAACCTTTTCCTCTATTGCTCCAGGTGAGCAGAGACCATTCATTATTCTTTGCTTGGCCACTTGCAAGCTTTTAAGACCAGGTATTATACAATGAGGTAGAATAGCAGCTCTAAGCACATTATTATGCCAATTTACTAGGCATAATAATGCTAAGCCTCACAGTTTTACCATTTTGTTATTAATGCTTTGCTTAGATTACAATGCTTAGTGGTGGACCTGTACAGACTTTCATGAAATGCTTCACTCTGTGAATTGTGAACTTGGTAATAAAAGAGGGGAATACCCTTCCTTAGGACCCACTCCACCACATGTAGATATTTGCACAGTGATTAGGTTTGTGGACCCAGGGATGTTGTATTTATTGTAAATTAATATTTTCCTCACTGAAATATCTTCATGCTGGAAATGTACTATATGTTTTAAAAAACTGTTTTATGTCAAAAGATTATGACCTTTGCTTTATCTGAATGTATTACTGTAATATGAAGAGTGTATTTTTATTTGCAATACACTCTTTTCTATTAAACAATTGATGTAACTGCCAAATGTTTTTTTTTTATTAGTATTTTTAATGATAAAATATTTCAAATATATGGAAAAATACTGTGTTTTAAGAGAAAACCCCTTGGTCTCTCAACTGGATGTATTAAAAACAACATTTTGATAATTTTTTTAAAAAATGACATAAAACATTTTAGGTAGAGGTGAAGGCCCTCTTCTATTGATCTCAGTCCCTTTTCTCTTCCTACTATCCTGAAGTTGGTGTGTCTTCTTCTCATCTCTTTGTACATTTGCTATACATTCATGAATGAGAAAAACTTTAAAGCACTGTGGAAAGACATAAACTGTGAAAGAGCAGTTGTTGGATAGGAAGACTGAACAACATAAAGTTGATAGTTCTTCTAAGTTAATTGATAACTGTAATACAGTTCCAATAAAAATACAAACAGGTGTCTTCTGTGCCAATCAACCACCTGCTCCAGAATTAAACAGTCTTACTCTAAAGTTTATATGCACAAATAGATAAGCAAAGGAAATAGTTTGAAAAAATAAGAGCAATAAATGAGTATTAGCTCAACTAGTTATTAAAATATTAATTTCAATACAGTTTTGGTTACATGGTTGTATGCATTTGTCAGAATTCATCAAATGGCACACTTCTTTGTTTACTTTGTTTCGGTTTCTGTCTGGGATTTCAGTAATGAGGAGATTGAATTTAATAGACTTGAACAACACTTTCAACCAATTGACATTTATAGAACTTACCATGTGTTAACAATAGAAGCAAGAGCACAGAAAAGATTAACTAACATACACCATATTCCAAGCCTTGAAACAAATCTCATGAAATTTATAGGACTGAAGTATGAAGTCTGATCACAGTGGAATTAAATTAGAAATCTATACCTGGATGGTAATTTGGAAAATACTCAAATATTTGAAAACTGCACAACACAGTTAAATAACCAGTGAAACAAAGAGGAAATCAAAGGGATAATTAGAAAATGTTTTGAAGTAAATGAAAACACAATATGTCAAAATTTTTGAGATGGAGCTACAATAAAAATTAGGGGAAAATCCATAACTCTAAACACCTGCTAGAAGAAAAATATCAGATCACTGACTCAGCTTCTACCTTAAATGACTAGAAAAAGAGCAAATTAAACCCAAAGTAAACAGAAATAAGGAATTAAGATCAAAGCAGAAATCAAGACAATAGTTGTTGGCACACTACATGGTATAGGTCAAACCCAGCCCCAAGTCCTGATTTCATAAAGTTTGATAGGAAAACAGCCATACACAGTCATTTACATACTGTCTATGGCTGCTTTTTTTGTGGGGGGCAGGGAACAGTATATAGAAGACAGAGAACATTCAGAAATGCAAGCTGGATTAAGAAGAGGACGTGGAATGAGGGATATCATTGCTGATCTTAGCTGGAAGCAAAGAATACCAGAGAGATGTTTGTGTTTCATTGACTATGCAAAAACATTCAAAAGCATTCAAATGTGTGGATCATAACAAATTGTGGATAACATTGAGAAGAATGGGAATTCCAGAACACTTAATTATGCTCATTAGAAACCTGTACAGAGACCAGGAGGCTGTCATTCGAACAGAACAAGGAGATACTGAATGCTTTTAAATGAGGAAAGAAGTGTGTCAGGGTTATATCCTATTCTGGTTACCTAGTGCTGCTCTGACAAGAATATATACCACCAATGCAATGGCCTTATCAAACATGAGTTTATTCTTACAATTTGGAGCCTTTAAGTCCCAAGTTCAAAGTGCCAGGCTCTAGGGGCTCGGTGAAAAACCCTCAATGTTGGGGTCCAGCTCTGCTTCCTGCTCCCGGCCCACTGGAGTAGAGGCATTTCTTCACTCAAGACAGCTGTTGGCTGCTGAGGCTGAGAAGCCCCAAGGTTGACAAGTAAAAAGGCACAGTCCTGATGTTACCAATCCTCACGGCAGGCCATTAACTTAAGTCCACTGTAAGTCTCAAGGTCAGTAAAACACAGCAGGCTGCTGAGCAGCGACACAGCTACATGCAGGGTCCTAGCGTGCCAAAAGCTAGAGACCATACCCAAAGACCTCCTTATATATAGGAAGCAGACCACATACCCAGAGGCAGCTATCCAACTGCTTGTGATAGATCCCACCCTGGAGTTGATTGCCAGTCTCCTCATGCAGATTAACTACCACCAGCTGCCCAGCCACTCAACCAGGCCCAGCTAAATTGACACACAAACTGAACTACCACAATTCCACCCCTTGTCAACTTGGCACCTGTACAGATCTTCAATGGGTGGTATCTGTACAGGTCTCCTCCACTGGGTGGCTCCAGTCTCCTAGTTCCTCAAATGGCGACCTCACCCCCTTGGCCTGGCACTGTTCCTCTCCTTCTTGGGCATGGCAACCCCGCCCCCTCACTCTTGGGCAGCGGCTATGGTGCCATCCTACTGGCTTACATGAACAAGCAGCCCCACACTCCAGAACCAAGTTGGTGAAGGTCTGGCCCTTTGAAACCTAGGGGGCTGTGATCATTCCACCCCCAAAGGCCATACTTATTCCATCCCTATGCTGAGCAAATAATGTGAGAATCAGGACTGTATGAAGAAAAGCATGGCATCAGGATTAGAGGAAGACTCATTAACAACCTGCGATTTGCAGATGACACAACCTTGCTTGCTGAAAGTGAAGAGGACTTTATTCACTTACTGATGAAGATTAAAGATTATAGTGTGCAGTATGGATTGCACCTCAACATAAAAAAGTGAAAATCTTCACAACTGGACTAATAAGCAGCAATATGATAAATAGAGAAAAGATTGAAATGAATTTCATGTCAAAGATTTCATGTTACTTGGTTCAACAGTCAACACCAATGGAAGCAGCAGTCCAGAAATCAGATGACATATTGCACTGGGAAAATCTGCTGCAAAAAGACCTCTTGAAAGTGCTGAAGAACAAAGATAACTCTTTGAAGATTAAAGTGCTCCTAACACAAACCATGGTATTTTCATTCACCTCATATGCATATGAAAGCTGGGCAGTGAATAAGGAAGACTGAAGACGAATTGATGCTTTTGATTTGTGGTGTTGGTGAAGAATACAGAAAGAATTACAGACTGCCAGAAGAACTAACAAATGTTTCCTGGAAGAAGTGCAGCCTGTATGCTCCTTGGACACGAGATTGACCAGACTGTCTCACCTACTTTGGTCATGTTGTCAGAAGAGACCATTCTGTGGAGAAAGATATCATTTGATAAAGTGGAGGGTCAGCAAAAAGGGGAAGGTCCTATACGAGGTGCATTGACACAGTGTGTGCAATGATGGGCTCAGGTGTAGCAAGGATTTGAACTAGCACAGGATGGGGCAGTGTTTCCTTCTGCTATACATAGAGTCACTATGAGTTGGAACTGACTCAATGGCACCTAACAATCACAACATGGTTGCTTTTGCTGTACAACAGCAGTATTGAACAATCCTAACAGATTTGGCCTGCAGTCTAGCATACAGGAAATGTTTGCCAACCCTGAAATAAAATTAAAAAAAAAGAATAGAGTAAATCAGTGAAACCAATGGCTAATTCTTTGAAAACATTAATAAAATTTATAAACTTCTAACCAGACTGATTAGGAAAAAAAAAAAAATTA